ATATTTTTTAACACTGATGAAGCAAAAATGTCCCCTCTTATAAGTTACTAAATCGCCTTTTAACCAATCACCTGCTACATATGCCTATTTATTAATACATCTATTCTATTTATCAATCACACATATACAAGAACATTTCCGGATCAAATACACATCTCCACACCACACAGACCTCTCAAACATCCAAATCACAACACAAGAGACAAGACACAGACAGAGACAGAGCCTCACAGCCACACACACACAAACACTTCAGGCTGTATAGAGCTTGCGCGCACACACATTCCAAGAACAGCCGCCCTCAGCGAGCGCACACACATTCAGTTCAAATTTTGAAGTCGACTCATTTATAATTTTCCTCTATCAAATTTTTACTTCTGTCAAACTTTTAACAAATTGTCTTTTAACAAATTACTTCACACTGCATGCTTCAATGCACACTTTTTCCTTTACTCAGCGCTTTTTCCCACTTTTCTCAAAACTCTTATCTTTATTCCTTATCTTCACTTTTCATCTTTTTACTTCTCATCTTTACACTTCTCATCTTTATTTCTTCTCTTTTATTTTCCTACATTATACGTTTATCATCTATTCAAATACCCTGGCCAGGGATCCCCTTTGTTTTATTTTTACTCAAATTTGACTACTTCTTAAAGCCAACTTTCACTTCAGTGTCTAATTTACACATGACTTACTGTTAAGAGGATACGGGCCCTGTCCTTGTTAAACTTGCATAGTTTTTAGCTAACTGGTCTCGTTACTAGTTGCGCTTATGCTATCATTACCTTTCAACTTTTTATCTCTTCTTCTCTTATTTATCTCTTCTTTATTTTATTCCCCTTTATTTATATATTTTTAACTCAATAAACCCAATTTAGACGGAGAATTACTCCAACATCAACACATCATTGCACTTCAGTTCTTTGACAGTGCGGCCAAAATTGCCGATAGACGACAGAAACAGCTCCGCAATATGTGCAGAAAAAAGAAAGAAACACTTACGAAGTGATGGAAATAATAAACAAGCTGTGGTCCCCTGCAGAAGGCCCCAACTGATCCTGTTCGTGACGCCAAAATTGATGTGGATTTCCTTGTTGTTGATATGTTTGATGATGAAGAAATTCGCCGTTGAGACTGACTTGCTTTCAAAGAGTATAATTTTATTTAAGCAAGAAACAGAATCACTGGTCACGTCTGACCAGGAGGATCAAGAAGCCAATAATGATCTCTGTCGAACACACAGAGACAATTGCTTATATGCATCCAAACATCCGCTTTCCCGTCATGGGTCATAAAACATCACGTTACACAACCACATGTGGCAATACTCCTATACAATACCTCAATTTAAACATTCCACCTGAGGGACTCCTAAATCTCCTTCAGATACTATCACAAGACGCACCCGTTGTAAACTTATATTATCTCTGTCCTAGTTACATCAGACACTTCAATATAAAATGCGACACCAGGAAGAGAAAAACATTGGACAAATGTTATGGAACTATCAAGGGTGCATATTCAGCTTCCGCAAAACCCCCTTTGGCAAATTCTGACCACAACACTATCCATCTGATCCCCACTTACAAAACAGCTCTTAAGAGCAGCAAGCCTCTTGTTAAATCTGCCAATGTATGGACTAAAGAGAGTATTGACACATTGAAAGGCTGCTTCTTATGCACAGAATGGGACACTTTTTCTGAGGAGAATGATGTAGACCAGGGGTGCCCAAACAGTCGATCGCGATCGACAGGTAGATCGCTGACTGATTCTCAGTCGATCGCGAGATGTTTAGTCAATATAAAATACAATTGTAAAATAGAAAAGTGATTTCAATTTCATCTCATTGCACTGTTTCCCACACACGATACTGTGTGGGGAGCCCAAGTATACTTCCGACCTGTTTGTATTTAATTTTTCATTTATTCATGAAATTGCTGCGTGCACGAGAGAGCGAGCGGGGGAGCGAGAGAGAGAGAGAGAGAGAGAGAGAGAGAGAGAGAGAGTGCAGGCATGCGCAAGGACGTGCAGGAAAAACCGGGGGGGGTAAATGTTTGACCAAAAAGTCATATATAGAAACTATGCTACGAGTATTAAGCGCATTTGATGAAGCTGCAGCTACTTTTCTCTGCTCCTCTCTGCTGTCATGACTGTGAGCATCGCGGGGCACGAGACACACCAACATACAGCGCAAACGCACACACACACACACTTGCACTGGAGCGCCAGCCACCACGCGAACCTTTTTACTTTTTACTTTTAGTGCTACAGCACACAGTTGATCCGTGATCTTTACGGACCGAGGCGGGAACACACGTGACCCGGTCAAACGGTCGGTTGGACTTTACTCCGTTCACTCTCACTGTGTCTGCAGCTAATTTAACAAAAGCAACATCATCTCACAGCAGCCTGCTGTAGTCTGTGAACATCTCCACACAGATTAAAGTTGTTTGTTGTAAACTAAATTAAGGGAAAAACATATGTGATATAAATACAAACGTAATATTAAAATGTAGCCTACCCTAAAATAAGAGTTTAAAAAAATTGCATTATTTTTTACAGAACTCTCATTTATTATATCTGAAATTATTTTCTGTTTGTTGTGTGAGTATTAAATGCATTTGGAGGCTGTCGGTAAAGGCTACGGCTCACTATGTGCAGACTGGCAACTTTAAAAGTAGATCTTGGTTTAAAAAAGGTTGGGCACCCCTGATGTAGACTGTGTTACAGAAGTCACCACAGACTACATTCATTTCTGCATTGATTCTGTGATCCCTAAAAAGACAATAAAAGTTTACCCTAACAGTAAACCTTACATCACAAAGGAGGTAAGAGACTGTATCAACGGGAAAAAACTTGCATTCAAGAATAAGGACCATCTACAACTAAGAGCAGTACAATCAGACTTAAACCAAAGACTGAGAGAGGCAAAACAACAACACAGGGCAACACTGGAGGATAATCTACAAAACATGAACAACAGGAAATTATGGGACTCTGTGAAAACTATGACCAACATGAAACCCACTAAAAAATCTTTATATGCTGGGATGAATTATCCACAGCAAATGAACTGAACATTTTCTTCAAAAGGTTTGATAAACAAGATTTCTCAGCAGAGTGTAGTAGTGTTTTGGAGAACATTCCCACTGTCGGGGCAGATAGGATTTTAATCGACCCGAGGATGTGGAAAATGGTTTTAAAAGTGTCACTGTCAACAAGGCCACAGGGCCAGATGGCATTTCTGCTTTCTTATTAAAGATGTGTGCAGAGGAACTAACACCTGCTTGGTGCCCCATCTTTCAGAGGTCAGTAGATACAAACACTGTACCAGCAATGTGGAAAAAGGCAGTCATCACACCTATCCCAAAAATTCCATGTCCTTAAGACTGTAATGATTTTAGACCAGTGGCTTTAACTCCTGTTGTAATGAAATGTATGGAAAAACTTATGGTGAGCAGGCTGAAGTCGGAGGTAGGCCCACAGCTAGACCCATACCAATTTGCATACAGACAGCATAGAGGTACTGATGACGCTATCAATAGCTTAGTGCACATGGTCACCAAACATCTGGAGAATCCCAAGGCCTATGCTAGATTACTGTTTGTTGATTTTAGTTCAGCGTTTAACACCTTGCAGCCTCACATTCTACTTAACACACTAAATCAGCTTAGGGTCAATCCATTCATCATTAAATGGTATCATTCATTTCTCACTAACCGCACCCAGCAAGTCAGAGTGAGCAGAACTGTGTCAGAGCTCACAACCATCAGCACCGGAGCGCCCCAGGGGTGTGTTAGCTCACAAGTGCTGTTCACTCTCTACACAAATCAGTGTACCAGCAACAGTGGAAACGTACATGTTGTTAAATTTTCCGATGACACGGCCATCCTGGGCCTTCTGCAAACAGACTCGGACATTCACACATATACATCAACAACCAGCAACTTTGTGCAGTGGTGTGACGAACACCATCTCCTCCTCAACACAAAAAAAACAAATGAGATGGTGTTCGACCCTCGGTCTCTTGGCGACCACTCACCAGTGGTCATCCATGATCACACCATAACACAAGTAGAGTCCTACAAATATCTTGGCATCCACATAGACAATAAACTAGTGTGGAAGTCCCAGGTGGAAGCTGTCTGCTCCAGAGTGCAGCAGAGGCTTCACTTTCTGAGAAGACTCAGGACCTTTGGTGTGTCCCGGGAAGTGCAGCTTCTCTTCTACCATGCAGTAGTAGAGAGCCTCCTACAATATGGTATCTCTGCATGGTTTGGAAATTTGATCGTTCAGTCAAAGGCCCAAATCAACAGACTCACAAAGACAGCCATGAAAATCATGGGAGTTCATCAGCACCCCAGCCTCCAAGACATCTTTCAACAAACCATAATCAGACAGGCACAAAAAATAATCTCAGACCCATCTCATGTTCTTCACCCTGAGTACCAGCTCCTCCCCTCAGGCCGACGATACAGAGTACCCCGAGGGAGGAACAACCATTTCAGAAATACCTTTGTTCCCTTGTCCATCAAAGCCCTCAACAGTACCTAAGCTGTAATGTGTGTGTATACGTGTGCATGTATGAGGTGGTGAGTGTGTGTGAAGATGTGTAGATGTACCTGCACTGTTATCACTTTTCATAACTATTACATATTTATGGTTTTAGTAATTCACTCGTATGGCATTTTATGATTATTTAACTGACATGTTTTACCGACGAATGAATGTATTTTGTTATTTTTTGCTACTGCATCAGAGCTCTGTGAAGTCCAAGACAAATTTCCCACTGGGACAATAAAGTTAATCTTAATCTTTCTACAGCAGTTGTACCTAAAGGCTAAAATGCACTCACAACCTAAGCTGTTGTAAAAGACTTCAAGTGTCTGTTTGTGGACAGCATTGTTCGTTATTAAACATAGTATGACTAAGAGGAATAATGATTTTAAGGGTTATGAAATTATTAATCTGTTTACTGCTCTAAGTTAATACAGTTATCCCCTCAGGAGGAGACAAATAACTAATCAATAAAAAATGTAATGTTGATAAAAACACTTTTACCTGATTAAGTCTAAAATGAAAGAGAAGCTCCACAAATGAAGGACACACTTTAGAAAAGTTTCTATTGCTCTGTTGCATATTCCTGCTAAAGATGTCAGAAATTACAAAAAGTTCAAGGCACACACTGTTCAGACATCAAGATGTCCATGAGCAATATGTCTTAGTGTTTCTGCCTCCCTTTTTGTTAGCATTTTAAACATCTGATAACTGAAATCAGTGTTTGTGTCAAAGTAACAGTGGCTCTGTATCCTATGTCTAGTTTTAAATGTTTACATGAATTTGAGCTGAAGTGCTCATCAATAGTAAAGTCTATGAATACAAAAACTTCTCTGTGCGTGTTGTACCCATCCTACAGTCGGATGGTAGTGGTACCATCTTTTCTTCTTCTAATGGAGCTACTGTATCTCATTCAGGTTTGGTCTCACAAAGAGTACCCTCTGATCCCTGTGGGCAAACTGGTGCTCAATAGGAACCCAATGAACTACTTTGCTGAGGTGGAGCAACTCGCCTTCGATCCCAGCAACATGCCACCAGGTATCGAGGCCAGCCCAGACAAGATGCTGCAGGTAAACACAACTTTCTTTCTTTTCATTTGTTATTCTTGACACATTTTCCAGTAATACTGAATCTAAAAAAAGTTATTTCAGCTAAACTGTTCCTGTAACTTCAAATAATAACTGTCTCTATGGTGTCCTGTTTAAGTGCATGTTCAGGCATCTTAATGAGGGCATTTGGTGACCCCCAAGACTTTATTGTCTCCCAGCAGATCTTAGTCTGGACCCTAATCTTTTGAATAAATGACCAACGAGAAATCTTGTTTTGTTTTTTTAAAGACAGACCCTTCAGTTAAGCGATGCCCTGTTGATGTTCATCTCCTTTATCTTTGTCTAGGGCCGTCTCTTCTCCTACCCAGACACGCATCGACACCGGCTGGGAGCTAACTACCTGCAGCTCCCTGTCAACTGTCCATTCAGGACCCGTGTGACCAACTACCAGCGCGATGGTCCGATGTGCATGTTTGACAACCAAGGTGAGTCATAGTCCAACCTGTGTGTGACGCAATAACAGAGACAGACTCAAAGGCTTTACTGTTGAAGCTTTGTATGTAGCGCAAAAAATAAATCTTGTATAATCTACCTAATCTATCTTTTAGTCTGTATATATCATAGGAGCATTGTAGTATTTGCAGCGATTGGGTTACTCACAGTGTGTCCAGGAAAGATGAGCCACCTTATCTGAGACAAAGCACACCACGAAAAAAAAAAACATCAAACCCGAGTGATGAAGTTAGAGTGAATTCAGTCTATAAAACACATCAGTTTAATACATTTGATCTCCCACTAACATCCAGACATACAAATTTTTAGTTTTTTGAAAAGACTTGGTAAAATACAACAGGGCAAGACCAAGAGTTGCCCAACAGATGTCGCCATTGAGACTGTATGAAATGCAATAGGACTCATACTAATAGGAGGGTGTTTAAGAAGAATTGTAAGTTGATCATCTAATTCAAACTGAGTTTAAAACTAACCACAGTCATCCATGCACACAGTCAATAAAGTTCTTTATTCTGTTCAGATTTTAACATAGCAGTTTGTTCTGTCCGGCTTCAAGGTGGAGCCCCAAACTACTATCCCAACAGCTTCAGTGCTCCTGACACCCAGCCTCAGTTTGTGGAGTCCAACTTCAAGGTGTCTCCAGATGTGAGCCGTTACAACAGTAGAGATGAGGACAATGTCGCACAGGTGAAGAAAACATCCCGATATTACAAGCACCAGCCGGTTTACACAAACCGATTTCACCACCAGGATGGTTCTTCTTCTCTCCTAATTTCCTGTGCGCTTCCTGCCCTGTACCAAACAGACACAGCTAACAGCTTCAGAGCCCAACATAATAAGTCAGTGTTATGTCTAACAGGTTCCTCCTCTTCACAAGTCACCATGGACATAAGTCAATATGGTTTTCAAATAAAGACTGAAATGAAAATCAATAATAATGAATCATTGTAGAGCAAAACAAGTGAACTAATCTACACATGAACTGTATGTGTGTTACTACTCTAAGGTAACCAGGATCGTGACAAGGCTAGAGATGATTGGCTTTATTTTGAAGCTATCCTGTCTGTATGAAGTGGACTGAAATGGATATCATTTTGATTCAATCTACTCTTACCAGGTATTTAATGTGTGTTTTCAAATTTGAATTGCAGGTTCGGACCTTCTACACCGAGGTGTTGAATGAGGAGGAGCGGGAGAGGCTTTGCAGTAACATGGCTGGTGCCCTGAAAGGAGCCCAGCTCTTCATCCAAAAGCGCATGGTGAGTCCTCACTGCATTATTATCCACACAGTCTCTGTCACCTGGACATGCTTGATGCTGTCATGCTTCTACTAAGAGTTGTCCAAACATAATACTTCCACTGTTTAAATCAAAGGACATGTTCTTTAACATGTTTATTGCCCCGTAGCAGGAAACATTTAAAAAATAAAATACTGATGGCTTTATGAACGAGCGTGCTAAAACCACAGAATGTAGCTCTCTGGAAACCAAACACTGTGCTCATGAAGCTTGGTGTCTGTATGTGGGTTTAGGCAGAGGCGATTAAATTGAAATCTCCCAATTCATGCACCAGGCAGTTCTAAAGTGTTCTTCAAACAATCAAAGAAAATGTGATCATGTATACAGTGTGAAATGAAACAGAACAGAAATGTTACTTAAATCTTGCTCAAAGGGAACAGTTACTAAGAAGACTTAAGAGGTCCGGTTAGTAGTTTATTTTGGGATTAAGCATTTATTGTTTAAAAAAAGGCGTAAGATTTGGACGAGTTTATAATGGTAACTTTAGTTGTTTTCCTATTACCTTGGACGACATAGGTCGTCATGGTTATTAAACTGGTGAATGCACTGACTTGTTTTTTTAACAAGTTGTCAGGGAGAAGTGATTTGTACTGATCCTGACTTCTACTATGATTGCAGAATGATATGAATGAGTCTGTTTTCACTTATAAATTCCAGGGCTTCTTAATGGTTGATTTGCTAACTTTTACATAAAGACATTTAAGTCATCTTTTTTGTGCATACATTTTCTCAGTGATGTCAGATACCATGGATTATTCAGGTTCATTAAGAATCTGAAGGCCCTTACTCATCACTGCACCTGGCACTATATGCTTGTGTCAGCTTCCCTGCATTGTCATGTTGACTAAATCACTGGCATTTCCTGGTTTATGAGCTATTTCTTAACTTTCTTCCTTCTTATGTATGTCATTTTGTTCATTTGAATAATGCTGGAAGCTACACTCCTCACCCTGTTTTTCATATCTGTCTCCAAAGTGCCTCTTTACATGAGAATACAGGAGTTATAGGTAGGCTGCCCTATTTGGCTTAGGGCGCACTCACACTAGCAAAGTTGTCCCGTACTGTGCTTAAGCACGGTTGCCCCCCTCCCCATTACCCCGCTGGCCTGCTCTCACACTGCTCCAGGACTAACCGGGCCCGAGCACGGCTACCTCTTGCACATAAGGTCGTAATACAACACATGCATGGCTTTACTTAATAATGAAGCGTGCTCAGTTTACAAGACAGGCTTACTCGAGGAAATAAATAAAGACACATGGTCGATTCTGCGTCCATACATCGGGGAACTTTAGCGGTGAAGCGTGCTTGGGCACGGCACAGATTGCCTAGTGTGAGTGCGCCCTTAGAATCTGCTACAGGAGGATTTGGATGTGGGGACCTTGTTCCTTCAGACCTTTGAAAAAGGAGTTTGAAGGCGTTGGAGGAAGTTGCATCAGGTTATAGACACTTTGAAATGGCTAAATTCAATAGCTAATCAACTTGAATCACATTTTTATGTTTGAAATGTCTTTATTGAGCATTTCAAAACTGTATTTGTCGTACTTTCATTTTATAAATATACTTTATGTTGTACTGTTTAAGCTCTTGTGCTTTACTTCCTGTTTGAAAGAGAAATCCTGCTTTATTTTAGAAGAAAACCGTAACAAAAGGAAGTGTTTGATGTGACACAGTGGACATTAAATGTGAATCGTTAACTGTAGTGACTTATCTATGGTACACTGAAAGGGACATAAACTGCAACAATTAATGCTATTAAACTAATATAAGCGTTCATTTGGGATCTTAATGTCATCGTGTTTAATGTGGAAAGTGCTCAACAACAATGTAACAATGATGTTATATAAGGGGTGAAATAACAGAACTAGCAATTGACCTGGTTTCATTTCCGTCATGCGTCACCCACCTCAACTGTCAACAGGTGACCACAACACTGTGGCTTCTGGTCATACTGTGGAAATCTTTCACAGAGAAGAACACGCTCTCTGTTTTACTGTGGTCAGGTCTGGTTTCATGTTTCCAAGCAAGATTGCAACTCTAAACCAAAAGATCACTGCCATCTTCCTCTCAGTGTTTTTAATAAACATAAATAAATAATTGAGTAAGTCAAATCACAATAAGGTATTCTATCTTCCAAAAGAATCATCATATCTGGACCGTTTGACAAAAGACATTTGATCAGACTCTGATTGTTAAAAGTATAAAGAACATCTTTTTCAGGGCCTTAATATCATATTATCTGTTTTCTCCTGCAGGTTGAGAACTTGAAGGCTGTCCATCCAGACTATGGAAACCGGGTTCAGAATCTTCTCAACAAGTTCAATGATGAGGCCCAGCAGGTAAATAGTAACTGTCTGATTGATTCTTGGCGAGTAGTTTTGATATGTTTATAAAACTTGAAGCAAACATTCAGGCAGGAATCTGAATGACTGAGGGGATTCCCTGGGCGCTGTTTCTTAGTGTCATCATGACTTTGACATTTTGGACTTCCCAGAGGAAGACTAAAACTTTTGGAAGTGTCCTGACTATTGTTTTCAGCTATTCTAGCAGGTCCACATTTAAATTTCATGGTTTTCCTCAACAGCTGTTCTGTGGGGAGCAAATGTTTGCATATGAATGGATTTTTTTACTTAATGTTATCAGAGCAGTTGATGAATTATTTACTGTCTGCATACAAAAAAAAATTGCGTAGAAAGTTTCTGACATGAATGATCTACCCTAGCTTAAAATATCAAGGCAACTATCGTAGGGCTGCTTGATTATGGCAAAAATCATAATCACGATAAATAAATGAAATAAAAAAATATATATATAAATTTGTGATTCTGATTCAGTGTTAAGGCCAGCAGAGAAGGCCTTACTGTCACTGACTGCCAACCTCTGACAAGGGCTGACATGGGGCGGCTCAGATGTAGAGTCGGCCGTCTCTCAACTGGAAGGTTGAGGGTTCGATCCCCAGCTCCTGCAGCAACATGTCTGATGTGTCCTTGGGCAGGAATGAATTGCTCCCGCTGCTTCGTGTGCGGTGTATCAATGTGTGTGAATGGGATTAGGTAGTTCTGATGGACACTTGACATAGCAGCCTCTGACATCAGTGTGTGAATGTGTGGGTGTGACATGCAGTGTAAAAGCACTTTGTGTAGTCAGAAGACTAGAAAAAAGTGCTATACAAGTCAATTTACCATTTTCAGTCTTCAGTATTTGAGCTCATATTGTATACAGATGTTTATAGATCAAGGATAACATTCAGCCTGCTCACGAGGACAAGGATGTTAAACAGAAATGAAAGTTATTCCATGACAGACATTGGGCACATTAATTGTCGGAACATTTGGATATACTGTATATATTTTTTTGTGTGTCTGGTGGCAACATTTCGTAATGCAGATTTATTAATGTTGAATCGTAAACAGCTGTCTGCAGGTAACGTTTTCTAAGATGTGCATCTGGTATACAGTTGTACCAACTCTCTCTCTCGCTCTCTTTCACTTCCACTCTCTTAGAACACACCCGTGCATGTCTACAGCCGTCCAGGAGTCTCGGCCGTCGCCGCATTCTCCAAGATGTGATGCCTTAAATTTCCAGAAGGGGCAGCACCCTCATGTATCGCAGAGCAAATGCACTTCTTGATTAACAACTGCTACTAAGAGTAACGAGATTGGACTAAAAAATTAGTATAATGACGAGACTGAAACACCGACTTGTAATGTGAGGGTTGTGTTTTTTGTTTTTTTTCATTCAGTCCATCCAAACAGTTGATTTTCCTCAAAATCCTCAAAGCTTTCAATATTCAGCAGATTCTTTATCTCTGTCATTTGTCTTGATTGAACACTAATTTCAAAAACAGATGAAGTTGTTTATTGTTTTACAGACTGAAACAAAGACCACTATGGTAACTAATGTTAACTAGATCGAGTACAGCATGACGAAATGGAGGGCTTGCCTTTGACCAAATATGGCCTCAATGCTAATGTTTGTTTTTTAAATATAGGTGTGATTGGAGTTTCAAGTTCAACCTCAGCTTCTTCCATGTACCAGGATGAGTGATTATTTCTTAGGTTATGTTTGTATGTTGGATTGATTCATCTCTCTCCAAAAAAAATCCAAATCAGCTATTCTGTTAGTCTTCTTTTAACATTCACATGTGATTCAATGTGTGACATATTCAGCATTAATCTCCGATCAGGTTGTAAAATACATTGATTTTTTTATGTAGTGTTGGCACATGCCAACTGCAAGAAGCAGTATTTTTATTTTTCACTGCAGGCAATCATAAGCGTTGGCTTGTTTTCCTCACGATTGACTGAACCTCAAAAATCATTGCATTCTTCATGAGAAGAACTTTCAAACTGAAATGATTTTTCAGTTTGATCTGGGGGTGTTTGTGGGCGGATGCATATCCTGTCAGTAATGCAGTTCACAAAAAGGACACAATTACTTTCACTTCATCAAAAAGTCAATAGTGCCTTTTTGTACTAAATACAAATATAAATAAATTAACCTGAAACTCAAAAATCATTGATTAACTTCTCTTTAGTGGAAAAGAGAAACTTTGTTGATTTATATCGTGGTCTATCAGTTAACGTAGGGTTAATGTGGCTAAGTAGCATTAAAAAAACAGAGACTACATCCTCATCCGAATCAAAAAACACGACCACTAATTCCCTCCTATTCTGGTTTTCTTTCAGACTGACTAGAAATGTAGTTTAGGGCTTTCATGTTTGTCCATTCTATGCAGAGAAAAAGACCCGACTAAATGCACAGTTTATTGTGTCACTGTGTAATATACACTGTATGACCTGTTGTGTGTTTGCTAACTCTTCAAAGTGTAAAAAATATATTTTATATGAATGTTTAAATCAGATTTGTATTTAGTGCCTGTATTAAATCGAAGCTTAACAGCAGCTTTCATGTCTCGTTCTTTTGTTAAGACATCTTTGTTTTCTTCAACGCTGTATGAGAAGAGGAAACTAAAATGCCAGTTATCTCATCTAGCTCATCTATAATAAGTTGCCATTTCAGTTTTTAAAGTTGCTTAGAGTTCTCTCAATGCCAACCAAAACACAGATTAATAAACCATAAGACCTTATTTAGTTCTGATATTTAAGGGATTACGGAGTTGACGTGTTATGGTTGAGACACCTGATAGCATCATTTAATGAATTTCTAAAAAAAATAGAAAGCTTAACGATACTTAAATGTCATCCCCCCTTTTCCCTTCAGGAATGAAGACAGGGGTCCTTTGGTTATAGCTCACCTCTTTTTATGCCTGATTATTTTGTGTTTTTGTAAAAGGCTGACGGAGTTTACAAAAAACTGGGACACTTTTTAACAACTCAAAATGTTCACAAAAAAAAAAACATTTTAAAATGTAGATGACTATAATAATCTTTTTTTTTTACACCCGTTGTATCAGTAGGTTTTGTAGTTTTAAGATTTTGTATGATTTTGACACATTTTTAAATAGTTTAAAGTTTTAAATGTGTGTCTTGGACAAGGGTGCTTTCTGTCAAAGGGCAGGTTTAGACTTAAAAAGAAAATAAATCAGAACCAAAATTAGGTATTTCAAATTGGTTTCATATATAAAAATCTTTTAAAAAGATTTTCATAAGTGTATTTGTAAGTGATATTTTTAATCTTGTTTGCCTGGGACATGATTTTTCCCAATTCTCAAGAATGAGTGTTATTCAAATTTAAGAAGAAGCTAATCTTGGTTGGTTGGTTTTGCCTCATTGGCTGGTATCAGGTTGAAAAGCAGCCTGTGCTGTGCTTACCCTCAAAGGAGCACACCAACACTCACAGCGACACGATCATAGTGTGTGTACACCCTCCTGCAGCCTGCACTCCAAACCTACAGATAAGACGACTGAGATGAATCCTGAAGGTGTTCCACTGCAGGGAAGAGGATATGAAGGATATCCAGGATATCCAGGATATCCAGGACAGCCTGGATATCCAGGACAGCCTGGATATCCAGGACAGCCTGGATATCCAGGACAGCCTACAGTGCTTCAGTCCACCACTGTGAACATCGTCACTGAGCCCCCCAAAGACTACATCATCTGGTCCCTCTTCTCCTTCGTCTACTCAAACCCTTTCTGCCTCGGACTGGTGGCTCTCATCTACTCCATCAAGGTCAGTTTAAAAACATCAGTTAAGACTCACTGATGAACAAAATAACTCGGTCTTCGACATTGAAAAAGCGTAAAATGTTCATGAACAATACCAGGAGAAGAATTTTCCTGTGGTTTTTGCAGAAAACTTGAGTGAAGTTCTTAAATTTCAAAAACATGTAAAAGTATTGTTAAAAGCTTCGCTTTATTTGAAGGGTCTTTTTGGAGATTTTTTCAATTTGAAATTCCAAACTATCAGTGAGTAAGAAAAAAAAGACTCATCATTGAAAGGATGACAGGTTTGAGATGAAGACCATTTTCGCTTCATTATACAATCATTCAATCATGTGTAAATATTTACATTATCTTGACAAAGATGTAAAAAATAAACGTGTTCAACTTTGTTTTTTTCTTGAAGATAAACAATTTACTGAACATAATGAGAGGTGCTTCTGTCGTTTCAGTCCAGAGATCGGAAGATGGTTGGTGATCTGGAGGGGCTCGACATTATGGAGGAACCGCCCGACCTTCAACATTATATCTTCTGTTTTGTTTGGCATAGGGGTCCTAATCTCCATTATTATGTTCTTTGTGATCATTGTGAGACTTCAGGAAATTTCATATAATCATTATGATTATGGTTATTATAGAAACGGATAGAAAATGAACTGTAAAATCATTTTGGTTAACTGAAACTAAAATAAAAACAAGGCTTTGCAAAATAAAAACTATAACTTGCCTACCTTTTAACCACTTATGAACCAATACGCAGTCTGCGATCCTCTGGCAGAGCCCTACCGGCTGTTCCAGGCTACAAACTAAAGGGGACAGGGCCTTTGCTGTCAGAGCCCCCAGACTTTGGGACAGCCTGCCAGAGGAGATCAGACTTGCAGAGTCAGTCCCTTGTTTTACATCTCTACTCAAGACATTCTTTTATAAAAATGCTTTTACTCTGTGATATCGTTAATTGTTTTTATTTTTCATTTTATTAGTCTGATTTTGTTGTCTGCTTGTTTACGCTCTGCCTGTTGCTTTAATTGTCTCTGCTTTTATTTTCTGTTGCAAAGCACTTTGCTACTTGTATAGAAAAGTGCTATACAAATAAAGTATT